ACGACCATTATATACTGCCCCATAAACGCTAAATACTGCCTCACGACTGTTATATACTGCCTCATGAACGTTGTAAACTGCCTCATTAACGATATATACTGCCTCACGACCATTATATACTGCCCCATAAACGTTAAATACTGCCTCACAACTGTTATATACTGCCCCATGAACGTTATATACTGCCCCATGAACGTTATATACTGCCTCATGCTTAAAACATACTGCCCAATTAACGTTATATACTGCCAAATGAACGTTAAATACTGCCTAACAGATGTTATATACTGCCCCATGAACGTTATATACTGTCTCATGAATGTTATATGTTGCCTCACGACTGATATATACTGCGCAATGAACGTAATATACTGCCTCACTACCATAATATAATGCCCCATAAACGTTATACACTGCCATACGACCGATATATACTGCCCCATGAACGCTATATACTGCCTCAAAATCGTTACGCTATATACTGCCTCAAGATCGTTATATACTGCCTCACGACTGTTATATCCTGCCCCATGAACGTTATATACTGCCTCATGAACGTTATATACTGCTTCATGAAGGTTATATACTACTACTGTTCTATTCTGCCCCATGAACGTTATATACTGCCTTAAAAACGTTATATCCTGCCCCTTGGACGTTACATACTTCCTCATGAACGTTATATACTGCCTCATGAACGTTATATACTGCCCCATAAATGTAAGATATTGCCTTATCAACGTACTGTACTGCTTCTCTTTTACAAACGTTATAAACTGTCTCGTGACCGTTACATACCACCCCATGAGCGTTATATACTGCCTCGTGAAGGTTATATACTGCTTCATGAACATAATGCTGCCTCATTAACGTTAAATACTGCCTCATGAACGTTATTTACTGCCTCATAAAAGTTTTTACTGATGCATAGACAACATGTTCGGGATTATATCAATTAAATACTGCTCTAAAGACATTATACAATGCCTCATGAACGTTATATACTGCCTCGTGAAGGCTATATACTGCCAGATGAACGTTACATACTGCTCCATGAACGTTAAATACTGCCTCATGAGGTTATATACTGCCCAATGAACGTTATATACTACCCAGTGAACGCTATATACTGCCTCAAAAACGTTATACACTACTTCACGACTGTTATATCCTGCCCCATGAACGTGATATACTGCCCCATGAACGTACTATATTGCCTCATGACTGTTATATACTGCCAAATGAACGTTATATACTGCCTCATGACTGCCCCATGAATGTTATCTAATGCCTCATACATTTTATTTATTGCCTCACAACTATTATATTCTGTCCCATGAAGGATATATACAGCCTCATAAATGTTATATACTGCTTTACGACTGTTATATACTGCCCCATTAACCATTTAATCCTGCCTCACGAACGATATATACTGCCTCAAGACATTTATTTCCTGCCCAATGAACAGTATATGCTGCCTCATGAACATTAAATACTGCCCCACAAACGTTTTTACTGCTGCATAGACAACATGTTCTGCATTATATAAATGAAATACGGCTCTATAGACATTATATACTGCCCCATGAACGTTATATACTGCCCCATGAACGTTATATACTGCCCCATGAACGTTATATACTGCCTCGTGAATGTTATATACTGCCCAATGAACGGTAAATACTGCCTCACGGATGTTAAATACTGTCCCATGCACGTTATATACTGTCTCACGACCGTTATATACCGCCTCATGAACGTTATATACTGCCTCATGAATGTTATATACTGTCTCATGACCGTTATATACCGCCTCATGAACGTTATATACCGCCTCATGAACGTTATATACTGCCTCATGAACGTTATACGCTGCCCCATGAACGTTATCTACTGCCTCATGAACGTTATATGCTGCCCCATGAACGTTATACGCTGCCAATGAAAGTTATATACTGCCCCATGTACGTTATATACTGCCTAGATAACGTTATATACTGCTTCATGAATGTTATATACTGCCTCATGAACGCTATATACTGTCTCATGACCGTTATATACTGCCTCATGAACGTTATATACTGCCTCATGAACGTTGCATATTGTTATATATGAACTATTGGATTCCGTATTGAAGTTGTGCTCTACCAGGTTTACGATACTCTGTGTGTGTGGCTGTTAGTGCGTGTGTGGGTACGTTGGGTGTCTATCATGATGACACGAGAACCTCAGAGGGACCCCCACTGTAATCACGGATCCCTGGGCACTGCAAAGGTTATGGTGTAGGTATTGATGTCTGTGGTTCCTGAGGGCGTTGTTGGGACAACAGCCAGGTGAAGCTTGGCGACAATTGTTTCTTCAATATCTGGATTTAAGGATCAATATTCATAGTTAGGTGAGTGGCTGTTACCTTCATATCAAGCAATCACGTGGAGTATCCTGACGTCGTAAAATGCAGGATTGAAATATTGCGCTTGAAATCCTTCAATACTGTACTGGTAGGTACTGTTTGGCGGTGTCAATGTCTATCTAAGATCGGTTATTATCCATGTCAACGTATCTCTTTCATTGGATATAGTACATGTTCGTCAGCAAGGTGATCAATGCGTATGGCATGCGGATATATGAATACGATCGTGAATGATGTGCAGATCAGTGTATTCAACACGGGGAACGTATGATTCAGTCTCACACAGCCATTATTCACTGACCAATACAAGGATTCCCCGTTTCAGTCACTTGATAGTGGATCTCCGAATACATACCCCATCTGGCGTTGGTGGTTGGAGTGAACGACACATTCGGGATGTTTCGCCAACTTAAAGCGTCTCTCATGAGAAAGGTAAATACTATGTAGTCAATGTTTAGCATATTGGGGTACAGTATACTACAGTTATAACGAACTCAAATGGACCACTAATTTAAGTTCGTTATAACCGTAGTTCGTTATCAGCATACATACAACAACTATACAGCAAATGGCGGGGACCAAAATTAAGTTCGTAATATCCGTCAGTTCGTTATACGCGTGTTCGTTATAAACGTATTCTACGTTATATACATGAACGTTATATATTGTTATAAATGAACTATTGGATTTCTCATTGAAGTTGTGCTCTACCAGATTTACGATACGCTATGTGTGTGTGGCTGTGTGTGGCTGTGTGCTTTTGTGTGGCTGTGTGTGTGTGTGTGTGTGTGTGTGTGTGGCTGTGTGCTTTTGTGTGGCTGTGTGTGTGTGTGGCTGTGTGTGTGTGTGGCTGTGTGTGTGTGTGTGTGTGTGTGTGTGGCTGTGTGCTTTTGTGTGGCTGTGTGTGTGTGTGGCTGTGTGTGTGTGTGTGTGTGTGTGTGTGTGTGTGGCTGTGTGTGGCTGTGTGCTTTTGTGTGGCTGTGTGTGTGTGTGTGTGTGTGTGTGGCTGTGTGCTTTTGTGTGGCTGTGTGTGGCTGTGTGTGTGTGTGGCTGTGTGTGTGTGTGTGTGTGTGTGTGTGTGTGTGGCTGTGTGTGGCTGTGTGCTTTTGTGTGGCTGTGTGTGTGTGTGTGGCTGTGTGTGTGTGTGTATGTGTGTGTGTGTGTGGCTGTGTGTGGCTGTGTGCTTTTGTGTGGCTGTGTGCTTTTGTGTGGCTGTGTGCTTTTGTGTGGCTGTGTGCTTTTGTGTGGCTGTGTGTGTGTGTGTGTGTGTGTGTGGCTGTGTGTGGCTGTGTGCTTTTGTGTGGCTGTGTGTGTGTGTGTGTGTGTGCGTGCGTGCGTGCGTGCGTGCGTGCGTGCGTGCGTGCGTGCGTGCGTGTGTGTGTGTGTGTGTGTGTGTGTGTTTTAGTTTGTGTGGCTGATGCCGGATGGACACCCCACTCAATTCAATTCAATTCAATTCTTTTCAATTTTTTATTGTATGAAAGGACACAGGCCCATATACAACGAAGTTACATAACATATTTTATAAGATTCCCTGTCAAGGTAACAATTCACTTCGTAACAAAAACACATGATGTATGTACAAAGCCAGTTGATGTTGTGTTAGAAGATAATGAAGACAATCTTACAGCGTTAACATTAGCTAAAGACCACTGCGGTAAGTTCTTGTTTCTCAGATTTTCGTATATAGGGCAAATAAACATAAAATGGTATTCATCTTCGACAAAATGTCACATGGGCATAACCTTAGGGATTTCTCAATAGATGAAAATCTTCCTGTGTTAATTTTTAGATCATTCAGGCCAAGGCTAAAACGAATAATGATGTTACGAAAATTCCTGTACCGTAAGTTTGTTAAATAAGATTCTGGTTCAAGCAATGACTTGAAATGGCGATTAGTATCATATCTTGAACTTTCGTAAATATCTGAATGTCATTTCTGATGAAACATATCAATGGCACGCATGCGAATGTACACACACAGACACAGTATACAGACTGCGAGCCCAGCGGCCCTTGCGCCTGGCAAACAAGGGGTACAAACTTTCATCGTCTTTAGACGTGACAAGGCCGAGGATCGTACGGCGGATACCACTCTATCCACTAGACTATATCTACCTTACCACAGAGATAACGTGTATGTACATAATGTCGGCAAAGAAAGCGTAACCTTATCTCCACCACAAGTATTTAAACACTATACAGCGACTCAGCCATAACGCTGTGAAAATGATCAGGCAGTCAAAACCCCGGCAACAACCCGCGGACTTCAATCCCTGTTTGACAGGTAGGACGGATATGCTTTGAAAACAGCAGATCTCAGTGTTATATTCAAAACACTCCCTCGTTGTAAAGGCGAGTTTCGAAAGTTAGGCGTGGGTACGTTGTGTGTCTATCATGGTGACACGAGAACCTCAGAAAAGCCCTCACTGTCATCACGGTTCCCTGGGCACTGCAAAGGTTATGGTGTAGGTATTGATGTCTGTGGTTCCTGAGGGCGTTGTTGGGACAACAGCCAGGTGAAGTTTGGCGACAATTGTTTCTTCAATATCTGGATTTAACGATCAATATTCATAATTAGGTGAGTGGCTGTTACCTTCATATCAAGCAATCACGTGGAGTATCCTGACGTCGTAAAATGCAGGATTGAAATATTGCGCTTGAAATCCTTCAATACTGTACTGGTAGATACTGTTTGGCGGTGTCAATGTCTATATAAGATCGGTTATTATACATGTCAACGTGTCTCTTTCATTGGATATAATGCATGTTTGTCACCAAGGTGATCAATGCGTATGGCATGCGGATAGACGAATACGATCTTGAATGATGTGCAGAACAGTGTATTCAACACGGGGAACGTATGATTCAGTTTCACACAGCCATTATTCACTGTCCAATACAAGGATTCCCCGTTCACTTAATAGTGGATCTCCGAATACATACATACCCCATCTGGCGTTGGTGGTTGGAGTAAACGACACATTCGTGATGTTTCGCCAACTTAAAGCGTCTCTCATGAGAAAGGTAAATACTATGTAGTTCATGTTTAGCATATTGTGGTACAGTATACTACGGTTATAACGAACTCAAATGGACCACTAATTCAAGTTCGTTATAACCGTAGTTCGTTATCAGTATTTTACGTAATCCTATGTGAACGATAACGTCGATTATTCGAGAAACATGAATGTCTCCTTGCAAAGCCAGCTGCTGCAGGTCCATAGTTAAACACAAAGATCCTTAACTGGACGTACAGTAAAATACGTTTATAACGAACACGCACATAACTAACTTACGGATATTACGAACTTAATTTTTGGTCCCCGCCATTTGCTGTCTAGATGTTGTATGTATGCTTATAACAAACTACGGTTATAACGAACTTAAATTAGTGGTCCATTTGAGTTCGTTATAACCGTAGTTTACTTACGTGTTTACTCGTACCAACGTGAGCACTATGACGTCAGCACACCTCCGGACTAGTACTAACTTTCCTTTGTTGATGTTTTAGAATAGACTTGCGTGTTGCACCGTGCAGTCATGCGACACAGGCGTTTTCCTATTGTTCTGACTCAGTCTGGCAGAACCTGTACAGAAGCACTATTATAGATATTGATCTTCACTTTGCTTGTGAATTCGTAGCATAAATGCTTTGGATGACTGAATGTGTATCCTCCCAAAACGTAGACCCCTTAAAACGCAGAACCTGTACAGAAGCACTATTATAGATACTGATCTTTACTTTGCTTGTGAATTCGTAGCATAAATGCTTTGGATGACTGAATGTGTATCCTCCAAAAAACGTAGACCCCTTAAAACGCAGAACCTGAACAGAAGCACTATTATAGATACTGATCTTTACTTTGCTTGTGAATTCGTAGCATAAATGCTTTGGATGACTGAATGTGTATCCTCCCAAACTGCAGACCCCTTAAAACGCAGAACCTGTACAGAAGCACTATTTTAGATATTGAGCTTTATTTTGCTTGTGAATTCGTAGCATGAATGCTTTGGATGACTGAATGTGTATCCTCCCAAACTGCAGACCCCTTAAAACGCAGAACCTGTACAGATGCACTATTATAGATATTGAGCTTATTTTGCTTGTGAATTCGTAGCATAAATGCTTTGGATGAATGAATGTGTATCCTCCCAAAAACGTAGACCCCTTAAAACGCAGAACTCCCATAATGCAGACCAGGGTGTCGTTGTACAGAAGAATCTTAGCGCTAAGGTAATCATATGTCCATACTTTAACGTAGACTAAGGTTGTTTTGTACAACGGCACCCTGAAATTGATTTTCATCACAGTAAAATACGTGTATAACGAACACGCTTATGACGAACTGACAGATATTACGAACTTAATTTTTGTTCTCCGCCATTTGCTGTCTAGATGTTGTATGTATGGTTATAACGAACGACGGTTATAACGAACTTAAATTAGTGGTCCATTTGAGTTCGTTATAACCGTAGTTTACTGTACATAATGCATGCTGTCACACCTAATTAAGGGATGGATTAATCCATATTTGTTCTAATTATTTCCTTACCTCTGTACCTCACGAAGGTTACGTGTTTTGTATTTAGGATACAGGACCTAATTTATTGTGATCATATATAACAGTGTGCGGGGCAGATAACACGCAGCATTAGGAAACAGATAACGCTTACTGATAAATGTTCAATCAACATCATTTCGATATGCATAAATCCATTTATATTCCCCACTAAATTAAACCTTCATTGTTTTATATTTGCCTTATACGGTGGCCCAGTCGTCTAAGGCGCCGCGATTCGCTGTGCAGAGTTGCGTCCCTTGGACACGCCAGAAACCTATAATTGTTGGTTCGAAACCCGGTTCGCCCCTCATTATGTTTCTAGGTTTGCGAGCACCATACTTCGTGGGTTTCACCGAAGTGGTAAACGTCTGAGACCTGCATCACTTTGGGCTTTCCTCACAGATTAAGCTGACAAGCCGCGATATAACTGGAATACTGTTAAAAGCGGCGTTAAACTCAACTCACTCACTCAGACTTGCTCATATTTGACTTATCTATGCAGGATGGTATAATAGGCTTGTTTCTTCTCTGTTGTTGATTCAGCGCGAATGTTATGGGACGCTGACGTTAAAGTACAGTGTGCTTACGGCTAACAATAGCCTCAATACATGTTTGGTTGCTATGTCGGCGTCGTGAGTCCTTCAGTGTGAAAGTATGAATCTCCATTGATATCTGTACAAAGCTTATTCATTGAGGAAGAAGAAACAGTCCTCACAACCTGGTGTATTGTCATGGTAATTCTGGGAGCCCAACAGCCGCCAAGACCGGGAAGTTAGGGTGAGCGGACACTGGGGCCAGGTTCACACAGTGCCGATTATTGCTCCCGTTTGAGATCAGACAGCGCTAAGACAAGAAAAGTGAAAAAATCGAATTACTATCCTCAATGATCTGGAATGTCCTACCATTGTCTGAACGCAGTCGTATACGTTCGTAACAGAGTTCAACGGATCGGGAAAGGTCCAGGGAAGCCGGCCAAGCACTCCCGAGCGTACGGTGCGTCCCGTAAGAGTCAACCAACACGTTAAGTTCCGGGTAGAGAATAGGGCTCCAGTAACCCAAGCTTGTCGTAAGAGGCGACTAACGGGATCGAGCGGTCAGGCTCGCTGACTTGGTTGATGCATGTCATCGTATCCCTATTGCGTAGATCGATGCTCATAATGTCAATCACTGGATTGTCTGGTCCAGACTCGATTAATTACAGACCGCCGTCATATAGCTGGAATATTGCTTAGAGCGGCCTTAAACAAGAAACAAGAGAGTCAATCATGCTGCTAGGTATGTAACCTGTTGTCGTGGGATTTTAACATTTTTTTAGGGGGTTACCTTCCTGCAAACACAACAGTGGTACCCTAATCACAACTCCTATCACAGTTCATAAGCATATCATAATGACTTTTGGCTCTAACAACGCGCCATCAATCACATCGTTGGAAGTAGCTGTATATAGCTGGATTTTGTGTGATAATTGGCATTGCCGTTTCTGTTGGTATTTATATCAAACATTTAATTCAAATGTTACATTAACTACATACTTGACAGAAATGAACAAAAACTGCGTCATGACAACGAAAGCGGTTTCAGACCAGGGGTATGTGGTGCACAGTGAAAGGTGGTTGCTCTTGTAGAGGAATAATTTGTTCATGTATTGATGCTTGTGTTTCCTGTATCAAGTACACAATCACTGAGATTGGATTGAGAATAAAATGTTGCCAAAGTTTTGGAAATATTTAAATTGGTTTATAGCAGGTTGTGAGTGACGATTGTTCACAGTCAATGTAAGAGTGTTGTTTGGTGCATATTGAAGTACTTTACGTGCTACTGATTGACCTTGTTTACCTGCGAATGTACGTGTGACAGTACACGTGCATGCTTATATTTGATAAATAATGGATACATGACTCGTCAGTTTCATTCCTGTAAATATAACCGATTTGATCAGAAACCGATTAAATATAATTATTAATCCAAATTAGATATTTCCTCTTTGACCTATCTAACTATTCATAACATGCACCCTATAAACATGTACAGTATGTTAACCGAACATTTGAAAGGGAAAACTTCATTCCTTGGCCCATTGTTGGTTGGTTGGTTTGTTGTTTTACGCCGCACTCAGCAATATTCCAGCTATATGACGGCGGTCTGTAAATAATCGAGTCTGGACCAGACAATCCAGTGATTGATGTCATGAGCATCGATCCACGCAATTGGGATCGATGACATGCATCAACCAAGTCAGCGAGCCTGACCACCCGATCCCGTCAGTCGCCTTTTACGGCAAGCATGGGTTGATGAAGACCCATTCTACCCCGGATCTTTACGGGTTGTCTTGGTTACAAAACGTGGTGGCCAGAGATACAGTAACATAGAGAATCTCACCCGACTGTCTTTTGATATCAAATATATGAACACGAGTTGATACACGTGGAAAAAGCTCCGAGGATTGCGGAGGAATTTTTCCACTTTAATCAACGAGTGTTGATATATTTGATATATATATCAAAAGACAAGAGGGTGAAGTATTATTTATCATCCAACATCATTCTTCCAACTTTTTCAGTTTGTAGAAAGTAATTAGCAGTGTCTTAAGTGTAAAAAGTACTGCTAACAGCTATAGTAGCAGAGCCATTAGTGATGTCATTTGATTGTGACGTCGTGGTAAACAATGACGTCATAATGGTCTGCAAAGCATTGTGATGCAATTTCATTGCACCGATATCTACAGTGTAGATATTGCTTGATCTCACCCAAGCGATATCCCCTGTGGGAGGAAGTTTTGGATGAAAAATATATATCTTCAGAGGCAAAGTTGTCAACAATGAAAGCAAATGTCATCTGAAGTTTACTGAGTGCCAAGTTGGCATCCCCACCTCCCCATGGGCTCCAAAGGGGCCCCCTTTCCCTGATATGTTAATGAGTTGGAATTTCTGCTCGACCTGGCAAAATAAAAACAAGGTAAGGTGGCCAAGACGTTTTGACTTAAGTTTCAGGTTTATTGATGATATGTTATCATCCAGTAACCATCAAATTGCCAGTTCCCTTCCACAGATTTACGCACATGAACTACAGTAAACTACGGTTATAACGAACACGCTTATAACGAACTGACGAATATAACGAACTTACCTTTTTGGTCCCGACTATTTGCTGTTGTTTTACTGTATATATGCTTATAACGAACTACGGTTATAACGAACTAAAATTAGCATCCCTTTGAGTTCGTTATAACCGTAATTTACTGTAGAAATAAATGAGACCAGTGAGAGCGCCTCATCTGTTTCATATTTAGATCTGTGTATAAAGATTCAGAACGGCAACAAATTGTTCACAAGATTGTATGATACGCGGGATGACTTCAACTTATAGTGCTAGCCCACTGAGATACCATGCCGCAGTTTAACATGAATACCCCACTCAGACACAGTATACTGACTCCGAGCCGACCAGTCCTTGTTTTAGCCC